GAACTTCAAACGGCTTTGGAAGATGTACTTACAGAGAAAAAAGGGTTGGAGGATGAACTTGAGGAAGTTAAGAGAGAGTACACGAACCTTCAGAGAGAATATACTTCGATGCGTATAACTAAGGGTGATCCAGAACTTGAGATTCTTTCAGACCTTACACAAAGGAGCAATGAGTGTAAAAGCGAAATAACAGATTTTGCTATAAATGATCTGTTGTGTTATAGTAATGGTAGCGTTGAAACGCCCAGTCAAGGGAGTAAAATCTACGCCAGCGCAGAGGATATTGCACAACCAGAGAAAGGGAGAACTATCAATGACACCACTGATCATTGCAATCACTCAGACGGAAGTGAACGCAGGGAATTGTCTTCTAAACCGAAATTAGTAAGTATTTTTGCATTTTTTTTCTAGTTTAGTTTCAGTTTCTACTTGTAATAGACTGTTAATTTTTATTTGTCTCTCTTTTGCCGGCCTTGACTCGACCGGGAAAATAAATCAGGCATCAAGGCAAAACAAACCCGGTAAAGACTTCACCAACAGAGATTCCTGCGCAAAACGCAGAAAGAGGATAAAAAACTTGCGTCATATACTACTTTAATCCATTCATTATCATTTCAGCCATTTTTGCGAGATACTTCAGCTATGAAAAACTGAAATCTTACAATCTCTAATTACCACGTCCACGGTAAAAAAAGTGTAACTGCAAGATTTGGCGGTATTGAAAAGCAAGACACAAGACGTAGGTCAATCTACAAGCGGCGGTCATGTTTATATCAAATGACCCCATTTTATTATAATCATCTTATCGTTTCAGAGTGGAAAAAGACCGTTGCCGTCGCTGCAAAACAAAGTTTCAAAAAAGCGTAAGTAGAAATAAACTTTAAAATCCTTTAACAAGTTATTGTAGCTCTCATACATATATTTTCAAAGTTAGTTTTTCACATTCATTTTTCGAGTAGTTTAGAAAAATATGCATCAGATGTGATACCTTAAAATTTGGTAAGCACATAGCTTTCAACCAAAGCGATCCGTTTTTTTCGGTAGCTTTCCAGATTGGCCATAAACTATGTCTATAAAAATGTTCAAAAAGTAAGACGTTTAATAGCGTTCTTTACTGGTTAAAATTTCATTTTTCTAATGCAAATTCTCGCTGCAAACAGGAATGGCGTTCAGTTTAGGCTAACCATAGCTCTTTTGTTTGCTCCTTCGTATAATTTTTTGACATGTTTTTTTCTCTAGGAGCTCTTCCTTCCGAGCCCAGTGATGGCGACACGGGCGTTAGATCTCCAAGGTAACTACAACAACAGCAAAGATACCTCCATCTCGAAAATACTTTGGACGCCTATACTTTCTTCAACTTGCGTTAGTTCGTTTGAATGCTAAATTACTCGTACTTAAGTCTATCAAAAGTTAAAAACTATCACCAGAAATACCATCATCATTAGTATAATGCTACGATAATTTACGAAATATGAAAAGGTTAAAAGCCAGTAACCCTTACGTTTTTCTCACAACGTCACAAAAGTAAGAGACCCCAAAGAGGTACCCCTACGTTATAATTATTGTCTCTTACATAGAAGGTAATAAGCGATACGATAAGTTGGAGGTATGATTCTAAGATAGGTTTAAAAACCATTGAAGAATTTTTCTTTCTGCTTAATGCACAATTTTTCTTTTTTACTGTAATACTACAACAGCTGTGCTAATGTTAACTCACCAAACTTAACTTAATCTCCGCGATAGGTCTAACAAGGACGATAGCCAAAAGAATGACAATGACAATGACCCACAACACACACCTATTACCTACGACCTAATAACAATTGATGACGTTAACGATGACATAATGCACGCTGACATTCATCACAGTGGGCTCGTGCGGGAAACTCCAAAAGGACAAAGAGAAAAACCCGAGGGAATGGAACAAGATGAAAGCAACTGTCTCAAAACTGAGGACGCTGACAAAGACAATAACCGTGACGTTACCTTACAAGATAACATTGAAAGCAGGGAACAACACAGTTTAGTTCATGATACTGCAGGCTCAGAGTCTATTATAGCTCAATCAGCTGAAGTGCTTGTCAAAACAGCCTGGTCTATAAAAAAGCTTTTCATGCGTCAAAAGTCACTATCAGGCCCTCATCAAAAACTGAATGCGTTGGAAGAATTATGATTACTTCGGTCAAAACGTGAAAGAAAACTTCACTTTTGCTGCTCATTAGACATGCAGAAATTGTCAATCCCATTCCATAGTTCGAATGACCAACAACAGTTTAAAAGAGCGATTTACAGAGCCTTACCTGAGAGGATCACTTTCTGAGCGAAAAAATCCTCAAAATGAGTCATATCTACAACTTGCAATCTTGCGACTAGGGTTTATATTCCCCCCAGCCCCCCCCCCCCCCCCCGTCCCCCCCACCACCTCTTCCACATACCAAGTGAACTTGCTGTCTCTTTATCCAGAAAGAGGCTGCACATCAGTGGCATTTAAAGTCAATTTTTATGTCAGATGAGCAAACTTCACCACCAAACCTTGTTTCGATATTGTTGAGTTGCAAAGTTTTGCATGGGTGGATTCTCAAGACAGTAGAGTTGAAAGGAATACCCACTCACAAAGGCTGCAAATACAAAGGATTTTGCTCAGAAAGGAAGCTTGGTGGTGAAATTTGCCCGTCTTATGAAATCGTGCATAATGGCCAATGATTCAATTAAAATTTCACCACTGTAGGTGTTGTATTACAGTTTGAAACATTACTATAGCAACATTGTCAATCACTACACTATTTTTTGAAAAATACTTTTTCCCAGTACCCTCTATTTAACCAAGGTGCTTTTATGAAGAATATTGACAGAGCAAATTACAAATAAAACTGAAAATAGGAAAGTATAATGCAAGTAGAGTCAAATTTATAATAGTATCAACAAGGAGTTCATTGCTAAGTCCGTGACATTGAGGAATATTAGGTTTTTTTAATTTTGTAGTTGTATGGAGTATTTTTATTACTGTAATAGTTAACACTGATATCAATAAACATGGGTTTTAAATACCTGAAAGGGACTCAGGTTTAATATTTTTTTATGGAATGATTGTTGACTGCTTTCGTTCATTGTCAAAGAATAATGTTCATAATTCCCTGTCCTATTATTATCCCTGGCCAGCAACATAAAAGCAACACAACAAATTCTTCTTTTTTTGAGGGGTTGGGGGGGGGGGGGGCAGTGATCAGTATAGGAAGTAGGCAGGGTTGTCATGTTCTGTAGACGTGAAAAATGTTACAAGCTGTCTATTTTATGTGACCCGATGGAAAGGAGATGTATGATATCACATTACCATTGGAGCCAAATTTCTGGATCTCAACAATCTTTCTTGGCAGAGACAGCCATTTTCATTGTCGAACAAAGGAATGTTAAGTCAGGAATGTAAAGTCCTGTCCCATTGGAGAACTTTGTCATAACCCTAAGCTAGCCAGAAGAATATGTTTGGGTTACTGCAAAATGCCACTTCATCAGAAGTACCCAGTCTTGATGGGCTATTGATGAATAAAATATAGTAACTGATGTGAACTGTTTAGGATCTTGGGTGGCAGTTTGTTCCTGCTTAGGACCTTAAAGGATTCTAAATCCCTGTTTAAGTCCTGTAAGATCCTGAGTAGGATCCTTTATCCTGTTTAGGATCCTGCAGATCTTTAGGATCCTAGAGGATCCTACATAGGATTTTTACCAGAGACCTTCTTTAGCAGTTCATAATTTGCAGGTGCAACTGCCAGGGTCATAAAAAACAATAATTGTATACTTGTGCAATAATGCACAAATTTCGCAGAAAAAATTAGAAAGTAAGCTGCATAGTGATGATAGAGATGATACCTGTCCAATGTTCATTCAGAGATTTCCAACTTTTGAAGCAGAGGTAAGTAATGCTCAAAAAGCACAGAATATATGATGCAGAGTTTTCACCAGCCATTTAACATTTTGTTCAAAAGCTTTAGCTGTTGTTTATTAACATAAGTTGGTTTTCTTAAATGACGACTTCTCTTGGGTCCTTTGTGCATCATTTTGTGACTCTTTCCTGTTCTCCACCTTTTCAGTTTTCCTTTACCAGTTCTCAAAAATCTAGCAGCAACAGCTTTGCAAGTTTTCCGCTTGCCCAGTTTACTCTTTGTATTGATGCTCCTTCTGATGATCGTAAAGCAAGATTTTTGACTCATCTGCTCAATCTGTTTCATGAACCGTGGTGCAGAATCAAATGGATAAACACTTTGGAATTTGAGTGGCTGCCCTGCAAGTTGAAATTTCATGCTGTGTGCACAACTTCTCATGGCACTTGCTTGGACATCGAAGGTAGAAAATCTTGAGGTCTGGAAGTTATGACTTGGTAATTTTGTTATCTTGTTGTGAAACTCAAGGCCTAAATCAAGAAAGATGTAAAACAGAAAATATTACAAAAATATTTGGAAGAAGATTACATCCTATATAGTAACCAAAATATCGTTATATTCATTTCCTAGTTTCTTGACTAGCTTCAATCAATATAAGCTTTTTACTATAATCTTAAGCCATAATATATTCCAGACTAGTGAAAAACCGCACAATCTCGTATCTTTTAAAGCTTTACAAAATGTACATGTATGCCTAATGATGCTTGGCTTATTCACTAGCTAGTTTAAGTTGGCCATGTAGGCAATGCGTAGAAATTCCCGGATCAGATGTGGACGTTAATTTTGTTCATGAACCTAGTTGAGCACATTCGATAACCTTCACAACTTATATACTGTGTTACATTATATGGATTTCTAAGTGCACCTTGCCGTCTAAACAATGAGCAGATTGTCCGCAGAGATGGCAAAGCAGGAAAAGAGAACACTCCTCTTGAAACTGAACAAACACGCGCCGCCATCTTTTTTCTCAAAAATAAGTACTTCATGTATTGGGTAGCAGGAGTATCCTTCATGGACGAAGCCGCTGATTAGTTCCCATGATTCCAGGGGGTGTAACATTTCAAAATGGCGCCCTTAGCAGAAAAGGAGGTAGCGGAAATAGACAATCAGACTGAGCAAAAAGAACAGACACATCAAAATGATTCAGTGAAACGTGAAGAGAAGGCACAAAAGATGAAAGAACGTCTTTTAAATGCTCAAGCTCAAGGGATAGAAGAGAGAAAAGCGGGGAATGCAAGCGCTGATATGAGCCCGGAGCTGAAACAAGAAATGGAGAAGTTCTTTGTGTGGACTCCCCCTCCTCCACCAGAAACTATGGGTGAAAAATTGAAAAGAAAGGTTAAGCAGAATCCCATCGTTCCTATAGGTTAGTGTTGTTCCGTCAAAAATGAGATGCTGATACCAATAAACGATGCCAGGAATCAAACGATTATTACATAACATAAACTTTGGGCCATTCCTCTGGGGACGTTACACTTTTTATCCGCCCCTTCCCCCCTAAAGATGGCTGGAATCCGAAATCTTAAATTTGTGTCAGCGCCCGTTGAAAAATGAAATCTAAAGAGTTGATTTTTTTGTCGGCACCTTTGAAACAATTACTTTTCTGAAGGGTCCAAGTTTTGTCGGCTTCTTTGAAGAAAAAAATCTGAACCCCCTATTCTAAATCCTGGCACCCTTGAAGGAGGGAGTGGGGGAGGAGGGGGTACAGTTAAAGTATGATCTGTTTTCTTTAAGGATAAAAGTCAACTTACCTCATCAATAAATGGGGGGATATTAAGTGGAATGCTCCTTAATATGAGGGAAATTCCATGGAAAGTTCACTCAATAAAGAGCAAGTTCAGTATAGCCAGCCACTTGCCAGAAAAATAGGCACTTTTGTTATTCAACAAGATGTAAATCAGGTGTGGTATTTTGCAGTTTAGCCTGTATTAAATTAAATTGATATTCACTAAGGGAGTTGAAACAGAAGACAGGACTAAGGAGAATCAGTCCTGTTATTTGTTTTAGGTGATAGAGAGGGGGGCCATGGGATACTCTCTGATATTAGCTATAAAGGTAATGTGCAGTGTCAAAGAGTATGGCTTTTGACTTCTTTCTCTCTGAGATTGGGTATACGTAGGGTAAGGCTTAGGGCCTTCTGGTACCAGGATCTAGAATTATGTATGCCTTATGCACATCTCTAGACTTGACAGAAGTCGACTCCATGAGTATTAAAGGCACGAGGGATGCGAAGCAAACAAAAGCGAGTGATGTAAGTGACCACCTAACCAGCAGAAACAGGCTTGGATAAAGTTGAGTTCATTTCATGAGAGCTGAGATTCATGTCTAAAACAGGGAAGGGAAAAATCACATATTTGGGTCTGAAATAGGGCTAGGGTTTCAGGAAACACGTTGCACATTACCCGCTTAATTTTTCAGGTGTAACCACTACCCCATGCCCCCTCCCTACCGTAAGACTATACATCCTGGTTTTGTCTGCCAATTTTCAAGCAAGAAAACAGCAACAAACAAGTCTACAACAAAGAGCTTACTTGTCCTCTCCTCAGAGCTATATCCAATGAGGTTGAAAGATATTTTTGTGACAAAGATGGCACCCTCCCATACTTTTGGTCCTGGGTTCCAGTCCCAGTAGAGTCATTTTACTTTTTTTCTTTTCTTTTCCCTACACACTGGAACCTTGATTTAACAAAATGCCAAGGCACTGGAAAAATTTGTTCATTATATCGAACACCTGGATTTAACGAATTAAAAAAAAAATAAACAGCCAAAATGTTCATTATATCGATGTATAGTTGATAATTAATGTACAAAACCCAGCATTCCCAGATCTGAACAATTACTGTAATACCTGGTGTAATAAAATTTGTTATTTAATGCCTATGTCACAGTACCAAGCTGTACATGATGTACATAGCCATGGCACTAGAAACTCGAGAACAGGAAACTGCTAAAAGACTACTGTACACATTAATTTTACCCTTGTTGTTCTGTTTGACTTTCATCGTTTATCGCATTTTGACATTTATTTGTTATATGGAGGTATACTTTTATGATTATATATTGTGCTTCTGGATTGTGTTTGTTAATCCTCATAATTATCGTACTGAGTTTTACGAATAGTCTTTCACGCAATAGCCTTTATTTTAGCCTTAAGACAAGTTTCGTTTATTCAAACCTCTTCAGTTTGGCCCAAACTGAAGAGGTTTGAATAAACAAAAAGAAGTGAGGTCTCAAAGATTCATATTCATTCAAAGCAATGTAAAGAGATAAACTCAAAAACTGGAATCTCAGCAAGGAAGGAAGGAGGTCATAGAACAAATCCTTTTCATGGAGGGGGGTGGGGGGTGGATATTGTTTGGAACTATATATCAGTAAGGAGTCGTAATTCCACCATTTTACGATGCAGTTTCTGTCTTGAGTTTTTAATCAGTATTGTGTTTCTTCCAAACAGGTGCACTGGCCACTGTTGGAGCATTGACATATGGGCTTTTTTCATTCATACGAGGTGATACAAAGATGCAACAGTACATGATGAGAGCAAGAGTTGCAGCCCAAGGAGGCACAATTGTTGCTGTTGCCGCTGGTGTTGCGTTCATGCTTTTTCGTGACAGTTAAAACAAGAAGTCTTAAATAATAGTGTTTATCCAGAGCTGAATTTGAATTTGGACCCAGCAGTGTGGAAAGCAACATTGTTATTTGATAAATCTGAATGACAGACCCTCTTGTAGGCTGTTATTGTGTCAAGAATTGGGACCAACAACAGTGTGGATGCAAAGAAACTGTGACAACAAATGCAGAATTTGGAAATTTAACAGTTCCAAAGTTACATCAAAGAGGGATGAAACTCTATCCAGGTATAACAAATGAACAGGCCCTTTTGGCTGGGTTTTGGGTGTAAGAGAAAACTGTTTGCCCAGCACAGCATATTACACCCTCCAGGCACTTTTTCTTTATTTTTTTTCTGAGGAATTCAATGAGTGGTGAGCATCTGCAGAGCACCGACAAAACTGCCTCATTTACCGTCCCCTCTCCTCCCGTTGTACTAGCTTTCTAAAACACTGTATAAATCTTCTGTGCTTTATTTTCATACAAGTGCTCAGCGATTGCTGTAGAGAAAATAAAAGGTTGGTAAGCAAACTAAAAGGGGCATAGACTTAGATTTAGTCATAAGCAACAGCCTCCAAAAGTTATTCTCAAGCTGTTTGTGGGTAAATGTAAAACACAGCATGGAAGTATTAAAATTTTTTTAACCTGATTGTCACTGCACTGGTGTCTCTATTGGTCAGAAATTATTTTATTAAACTTGTAGGACAGTAAACATTACACACACATTATTTGCATATCTTCTTAAAACTATGAAAAATGTTCTAGAATGCCCAATTACTCTCAATGTTGTAAGATAAAATTAACAAGCCTTGAGTGTATTTAGTGAAAGTCCCAACATGTGAAAATTTCATTTATTTTGATCAAACATGGTAATTTAAAATATTTCAATGGTTGAAAAAACTGCACTAGAATCAGCAACAAAACAAGTTTTGAATGGAACACAAATATCCATTGTGGTGAAAATCTTTCATTCGTGGATTTTACATTCCATTTCAAAAACAATTAGACAGACTTATAACTACTGGTAACTGATTTTTTCCCTTAGTTACCTTAAGAAAAACAAACTTTGAGTGATCAACATCTTAACTAAAGGGCTTTCTTCTTTTTTAGAAAATACAGGAGAACCCCAGTAACTCGAACTCGAATAACTCGAACTTCCCGCTAACTCGAACTAAGTCCAATTTCCTTTGGATTTCACCCCACTTTTCAGTCATTTTTACTCGGATAACTCGAATTCCCCACTAACTTGAACTAAATTTCATTTCCCCTGATCAAAAATTCGCGGAAATTTACCCCGATAACTCGAATTCTGGTTCTTGTAACTCCACTTGGACGCCATCCCATTAGCTCTTCTTGTTGTATAAGGGTAAAAACACTAAAACTAATACTGGGCAACACTACACCAATTTGTTTTTTAATTGATGCAACAAACAGATCACGTTTTATTTTAAAAAATTCCTAATCATGTTACCGGTTGTGATGAAATAAGAATTGCTCTCCACTTTACACTGAAGTGCTGAAAAATAAGTAATTGTTAAGTTTTAATACGGTACATTAAATTTTGCAATTGACCTCGTCAACTCGAACCCTCGCTCAAAGTACGAGTTTAGAGTACGAGTCACCAGGTTCTGCTGTATCCTGAAAGTACACACAAGACAAAAGATAAAACGTGATAGTACTTTTAAGTACTGTTTAAAAACAGTTCAAGGGTCATTGTTATGAGAAATGTTATGAAGTGTATTTGTGACAAAGAAACCACGACAAAATATTTTTTTATTTCGATAAGAGGTACTTTATAAAATTTTATAAAATGATTATCATTCTATGTTGTTTCAGAGGCTGCTTATGCAAGACAGAAAGTACTTGCTCATTAGTTTAAGAATTCCCATAACAGTGCCCATAACGTAACTTCAAGACAACGCCTTTTGGAATGTATTTGTTAGAAATGTCATTTGCTAACTAGGGTTTACAGTGAAGTAGTGTTATGATTAGCCAGTACACAGACCTTACTTTATTTTTCTTTTCGTTCTTTTCAAAAACCTCGGCGAGCGCGCAAGAGCGAGCACGACAAGCAAGATCGAGCGTACAGACCGAGAAAGAAAAATAAAGAACTACTTTTTTCTTCCCCCACCCCTACCCCCTTTCGCGGGCGGTCAATAAATCCCCCGCGGTTATTATTTTTTATCACGCGTGCTCGACGGACTTTGGAGAGAAAATTAGCCTGCGTAGCAGGCGTCGAAAAAGGTGGTAGGGGATAGGGAGAATGGGAAAAAGGGAGGGGGCTTGGGGAGAGAGGGGAAGGGACGCCTGCTATAAGAACCCCCTTTTGTTAATTTCTGCGGACGCTGGCGTCCGCAAATTCGTGGTTGGCTGAGCCTTAATAATGAGTAACTTATTGTCGTGTATCCTGGCGTGTATTAGTGTGATAGACAAACATGACGAAGGCATCATGAAAATGTGTTCTACTGGCATAAGCTTTGGCAGATCAAATTAACTCCAATCATGTAGCAACTTCACGTTAAAAGCAGAACTAAAACCAACTGTAATAGCTTGTTTAGCAGGAAGAGATGCTCATTGGGTTTTGTATACTGGATTTGCCCATACACAGAGCAGCGATTCAAAGCGATTGCGATTCTTGCCAGACATCTGCAATGCCGATATCCAGAAGATCTCCTTTTCCGCAAAAACATATACCGTATTGAATGGAGTTTTAAATGGTTTGCAAAGAGAGAGCTAAAGCTTTGGTAAAAACTATCAGTTGAGCGTTTTGACAATTGTTTATAATTCTCCTTTGCTTTCATCATTCGCGTCTCAGGCTGGCCAATGTTTTGTTCTTTGTGACCATCACGGTGCTTGATGAGGTTGTAAGATAAAAGGTCTTGTCAAGATCATTCTCTCTTGGATGAGAAAATGGTGGGCGGATTACAAAAACACCGGCTCTTATAACAGGCGCTCCCTTCCCTTTCCCCTCTTTCGTGCTTTTCTCCCTCCCCCTTCCCCTCCCCCTCCGGCTCCCCTCTCCCTCCCCTTTTTGCGCCTGTCACGCAGGCTAAGAGAAAATAGACGGTCGGTGAATAGGCTATGATATGAACTCTACTAAATCAGTTCAACGTAGTTAGCTGGAAATAAACCGTAACTACCATCAGGAGCCACACCTCTCCACCAGCCTTCATCAATCTGTTCAATGTTTGTGATGATAGTATCAACATTCAAATTAATCTCTGTGTCATCAGCTGTGAACAAACATATTTTAAGTTGGTTAGTTCAAACCAAGGGCACTTGCATTTCGTATCAACCCCCTATTCGGCCCCCATCCATTATGAACCCTGCTATATCAGCATGCATTTTCTCCACACACTGTTCTTCATACAATTCCTTTGGTACTGGTGGGGAGAAGTTCTTTAAATCACAACCTGTATCGCTTGCTGATCATTTGACTTTTTCTTGTGTCCTTACGTTTGATAATGTTGCCGTTAGGAGAAACCGGATGTCACTCAATCTTAAGAGAAAGGCATTTAGCCCCCTTCTAATAATTCAGTGTGTATGTGTGTGTATGTGAAACGCTACAAAATTAATTATAATTAAGTTTTAAGTCTCAATTATGCCCCAACCCCATGTGTGTTTGCCAGTTAAGTTAAATTTAAAGGCACATTTTCTTTTTCTAAGTTAGATCAGGTGCATGTAATGAGTGTGTGGAAATAATAAAGAAAATATGAATCTTGATATTGATAATGCTCTGCTTTAACATAAATGATCAGTCAATCAAGGTGGTCAAGGGAATTAATAACACAAGAAACTAAAGGCTCCATTGTTTCATGAAACCGCATGTGCACAAGCGAGCAAGTCTGAAGCAAGCGAGCCGGCAAAGCAGCAGACCTAATCCGTAGAGGAACAAAAATTTTCGATTTCTACACGTGATGAATCTGGATTTTTAACCACAATGCACTGGATTTTTACCATGATTCCTTGCGCTGAAACGTCACAATGACATCTTGTCGTTTTAAATATCATCATGCTCAGCGTGTTTTGTACGGCTCATCGTGTCAGCGAAAACGTGGATTATGCTATCAAACGGCCGAATGATATTCAATATTCAGACACCGGACACCTGACCCCGCTGAACTGAATGTGGATTTTAATTTTATTTGAACCTCTTAGGGTCAGCGTGCCCATGTAACGTTACGTCTTTGTTTTAAATTTTATTTGAACGTTACATTGCGCGTTCATTTTTCAATTGCTTTTACTGCAAACCACTGTTATATTTTCTTCCTTTTAAACTTCAAGTAAAAGAAAAACGTTCTTCTCGATATCAAACAGAAACACAAATAACAAGAAATTCATTTTCTGTATATCTTCTGCTATGTAAACTTATAGCAAGAAACATGATGTTGTCCAAATAAAAAGTCACACTAATAAGACACTCATTTCTCTTCTACTATCCAAACATTTTTATGATCGTTCGCATCTCCTATTCCTTTTTTCAACTTCTCATATTATAAGATATTGTTGATCTGCTTATTTTACAGTTGATAACACCAGCAGCACTACTCTTCTACCTATGAGGTACACTAGTATTAATAGAACAGTATCATACACTTAAATGTACACTTTTACATACTTGCTTGATAGTCAAAGAGTACTTTTGCTTGTAAGCCTGGCTCAGCCTACAGGAAAAACTTCAGTTAGTGTATGGTAATAATTTTTAATGAAAACGAAGGGAAACGGGTGCTGGCTATTATTTTTGCATGCACACATCACTTCATAAATTATGACATCAACTGGAGCCCAAAACCACAACCTTATTTAGCTGCACATGATAATTACACCCATATATTTAGGTACATGAATTTTAGGGGAGTACCCCTCAGGACGGAGGCATCACCAAACATTAATTTTAATATGTCAGACTTTAGATCTTTTAGTCTGGGTTCAAGCCTTGCCATCAAGATTTGTCCTTTGTTAAGAAACTTTGCTCCACCTTGTCACCCAGCCATCAGAGCAAGGCTAAG